GTAAAAGCACTTATTGAGAATTACGTAAAACACATCCCTCACCAATGTAAATTTAAAGTACAATGTGATCGATAAATTACGGTACTGCTACGGCCGGGCATTAAACATTCATCTTACATGTAAATGACTCCTTTTATCATCAAACGGATTTTGTATTTGAGATGGAAACTAAATTACCAGATAATTTGTCTAAAGTATTATTTTTATGTGTAATCTAAATCGAAAAAATAGTGTGTTCGACTTGCGATTCTCAAAGACGATACGAAGTAAAATTTAGATTTCAAGATTAAAGTTGGTCCATTTCGAGGAAACAAACCGTCTAAAGCCTCTTTTATGTTTTCTTGTAATTAAAAGTAGGGCCACAGAAGTATTGCAATGTAGTGGTGAAGTATATTAAGTCTATCAATGGTGCCCTGATTGCCAGAGTAGTTATTTCATTGGGTTACCAAACTCTAAACCTCGGGTTTGCTTCACAGTAGGCTCAGTAATCATCCAGTGCCATACCGTTTTTTCAGTGCTGAGTGACACGTTGGCTCGGCATAATGGTTCCTCCCTTATCAATAAATCAATTATTTTTTTATCATTTCACGTAAGTTGCACGTATCACCGTCTACCCCTTTTTAACGAACTCATGCTATAAGGAAGCGCCGTCTATTCAAATGGATTGGCTTTTGACGAGAGTGCCCAGCTAACAATTTGTGTTGTGCGCAACACATCTGGGTGGTTTGCGTTCGTTTCTTAGCATGTATTGCGCTTCCTCTAGATTGGAATCATCACGAGTTATTCCGTTTTGCACAGCAAAGTTCTTTATGTAAAAAGCAAAAAAAAGCGTAAGGTGAAAAGATCGAAAAAGTTGTATAGATGTTTCGACCTTTTTGAATTTTATTTCTTTCTTTCAGTCGGGTCGATAGATTCACAGAGCTGATAGCTTCCAACTAGGCAGAAAACATTTGTAAACTGCTTCCTAGCTTTTAGTCCAGGCCTCCGTCGAGTTATGTGTGACGATCAAATCCCACATTGCGGTCACGTAACGGTCTGTTTTAGTTGACAAACCTGTGACAATAGTTCACATAACAGCCTTTTCAAGCAAAACTCAAAATTCAAATTACAAGTGATTGATTAATACATATCGTCATGAGAATTCTTAAAAATTATTTTTTCAATATAAATGATTGTTGACACAGCGCGCGGTGATAAAACGTCCTCACACATATGTTAGATAGGAGCTGTAAGCCAAACAGTGTTGTCGCTATGATCAATTATGTATGAATGGGTCTCCATTTTTTCAGGTACAGACGTTTCAGTGTCATATCAGAACCTTGAAACAAAAATGGTCTGTAGTAGGTTGTAGTTTCCTCCCGTGCTGGATTGAACAGGCCAATATGCTTCAATCATCTAGGCGAGAAGTTCCTTCGTGGGCGTTGTCTGATTGTTAGCAAAGAAGCTATCAAATTCACTGAAGAAATAGTAACCAATAAATAGGGTATTAATTTGGTGTTATTGGGATCAGATTTTATTGGGTTGTGTCCTCGATATCGCGGTAAACATATATTAGAAATAATGATCAGTTCCTAAATCCATAAAATTTGGTCGTTGTTTAATGTACCGCTGGATGAGGGGAAAGGTTCATGAACCAGCCAATTTACAAAGAGATATATGTATATTTCAAAGTCAGTTTAGTATTTCCGCTTTCGCTGAATGCATCAAAAAAAAGCAAGTAATAGTAATTTGCACTTGAAGGTGAAACTGAGTAGCCCGACATCGCTCAGTTTGAGCGAATAAAGATGAGGGCATTTAATGTGTGCCTCAGAGGAGGGAGGACAAAGTAATTATATTTATTTATATTTATATTTATTCTAATATCTGTCCAATATAACTGTTTTTCAAAATGGAAAATTATTTATTTCTTTTTATTCGACTACATCAGGCACATTCTTGTCTTTTCGCTTTTCTTTTCTCCAGGTATGTGACAACAATTACATGTGTTTTTGTGAGTTTTCATTGTAAAATCAACTCTGCAGTTAGTACTGTTCTTTTGCCGGAACATGGTTGGGTGAACAAACAAACCCTCAGCCCACCAGTCAAATACACCTGCTGCAGCACCTGATCAAACATGATTTATCTTTTGTTCCAAATACGCACACAATCAGATGGCACAGCTGAGATCAACTGGGGGACAGTGAATACCATCAAAATAGCACAATATTTAAGGAAGAACGTTTTCAGTGGTCCTTTTGTGACAATTTGGCTACCACAAAAAACGGCTACCATTCAAAAGATTTAGCCCTCCATGGAACAGAACAAAGCTACTAGTTGTGATCTATGAATCTATTGAATTCCAGAATGTCGAAAAGACACAAAAGTGAGTCCGACAAAGTGTGCAATGAACTCAGTCATCACAAAACGGCTAATAGTGATTTGAGCTTTGTTGTATCACATTATGTATAACTTAAAAGTAATGGCATACTGGTTGGAGACAATAATAGCTTCTGATTGAAAGAGAGCATATTGCATTCAGAGTACAAGCTTATCGAAACCCTTCAAGCTGAACCTCCCGATCGCTGGAAACAAATTCTGCCTCTCAAAATACATATATATATATATATTGTTGTTTGTTCTATACAAATCTATCTTTATTTTTTCCCGGGTTAGCAGAGATATTTCCTCCACACTGGAATCAATGCTTTTAGCAGTGACTGTTTCACAATTTAGATAGTTTTGTATAAAACCGGTATGCAGTTTAATTTCTTTCTCATTATTTGGTTAGAATTATTCCTTATTAGATACATATTGTTGTTTATCCCAAGTAACAGTTCTCGGATGGTAACAAGCGGAATCAGCACACTGTTCGGGAGATGTTGATGTAAACAATTTTGTTCTTGTGTACTGGTATTTTTGAACCATCGTACTATGGAGAGCAACGTAAATAATTTATCCTTATCCACATCTCGGAGGAGTATTCTTTTAACTTGAAATAACTCTAATCGACGACGGGCATTGCTCCCCGTTTACTAGGTATGACATTTTTTATTACACACTTATGTGTGATGAACAGCAGACGGGGAGAAACTCCATAGCCATGAGAACCTGTTGTTTAGTGATGGAACCCAAGCCCCGGGACTCGGAGTGGTGAACCAGATAAGGCATCAATAGGTTAGCCGTTGCATTGAACCGTACGTCTAATAACAGCATCAATAGCTCTTATCAAAGATTCAATTCTACATACGGGACGAACTCATTCCCTGAGCTGAAGACAGCCATATTGGCGGTTTGTTTTTATAAGCGAGTTGCAATAAATCAAGTACAATGCCAATCCGGATAGACTGTGCTTTCTCTTCGAATGCAATGCCCACACTGACATTAGTTCAAGAAGTCGTACAAAGATAGACACAACAATATGTGTGGTCGCACTACTGCTTCATGGACGAGTTTTATAAAAACACTTAGCTGTTTGTCAGTTCCTGGTACTTCCCTAGTAGGCTGTATGTTGATGGCATGGCGTTTACCACTAGTTGTCAAACATTAGGACAATTGTGCGGACACTTGCATTGCTATCGCGTTCAGACTCCGGCCGGGAGCGAATCGTTCCACACGCCAGCCATCCAACTTCATGGGAAACTGCAACTGAAAGGTCCCACGATTGTCTGGCTGTGCGTGATTAATTTATGTTCCCACTAAAGAAACTCACTGTTGCTGGCGAATTCATTTAGTAGTTAGTAGACGGTGTTTTGTTAGTGAAATACCACCAGACAATAGAAAGCAACAGGCTTCCAGTTCGGTTATGGACTGCGCAGTTACACAAAAAGTACAACAAACTGGGGAATCGGTCTTTCAGGAAGAAATTAGTATGATGGAACTTTGTCGTTCACCTTTCTCTACAACTATAGAATGATTCTATTGGTTTTCTAGAACGTGCACCTTATCCAAATAGGGCCTCTTTTACTTCCTAATAACATACGAGATGCTTATGATGATTGTCAACAACTTAATAATCACAAGGACTGGCCTCGCTTTCTCCATAGTCCGTCAATCATATAATATATCTTTGATTGGCCAGTTCCCGCTTTTGAAAATTGTATGCATTGTAAGCAAGTAAAAGCAGAGAACGGACTTGGAATTCAGATTGTTCCAACGTTTTCGCAGGAAAAACAGATACTTTTCCAGATGCACTACCGATTGTGTGTGTGTGCTGTCATCATGAATCGCCTCAGAGGCAAATATAATCAGGATTTTCAGAGAAGAGTTTAACTGTCAAAGCCGTCCATTGGTTTTCTAAAAAGATTCTTTTCCTCTGAGACAATGGCCTCCGTAAGTAAATAGGCTGTTCACCTTGTGAAACTAGTTGACTCATTGTGGTGCTCAGGCCACAGGCTAATTGATTTCCCATAAATCCATATTTGTGGAGTGTCAGCGGACACCAACAGCTAAATGATGATTATATCAGCCTGCGATTAGTGGTCTTCAGGAAGCCCGAACTAAGTTCCATTACTAAAAAACAAAACCAATTCAAAGTGGAGCTCAATTCGTTCCATTCTAATCTTCATGAAAGGAATAATCGTTAGTAGGAATGTAATCAGCTACCGTTTTGCAGTATGCCCACCGTTTGGTAAACCAAAGGCTGCATTTTTCTGAATGGTCATCAAAATGCATATTTATTCCAGCATCATATGGAAACTTCATCCGCAGCATGTCAACCGACGAATTTGGTGGAATCAATCACTGACTTCCGCATCCATCAAAATCGACACTAGCTCCGGTTATCGAAGCAACGGAACTAGAGATATAGTGAACTGGACGGAGGATTATTAAAATTTATGACGGAATAAAACCTCTGAGTAACGCTTCCCCCGGTAGTGCCGGAAATGAATTGCAATTTATCATCTTGACTAGACGGCAGAGAACCTCGCAGACGTGAATAAGATGAGAAGAATAAGCTCGACCAGTGGTCCCAATCAGGGCTATTCAGTTTACTATGAAATAGAAAAGCAACGTGAACTTACTTTGAGAGCATCGGGCGCCCTGAAACGAGGTTAATTCACAGGAACACTTTAATGACGACCACAACAGTAGACAAATCCCATCATTCATGCAATACACATTGTTCGAACTTTTGGGCAATGTGACGTTCATTCCCGCCTCGTGTAATCTTTGTGATGTGGTCTGAACCGGACACTGGGGTGCACCCGATGGTCGATCTAGGCAACCGGGAACTATATCCTCATCATTGAATAGGTGCACCGAACCTGTTCGATTGATGGCCATTTCTTTTGCAAGCTTCAGCAAGTCTTGTGCGGGTTGATCGTTTACAGAAAAGTTAGCAAAACAACCCTAAGAAAAACAAATAGAGAAAAGTAAGAACTAGGGTTTATTTGCATCATTTCTCTAGAAACTCGGTAGTATATTAGATGAAATTCATGCAGAATGGAGAAATCACTTTTATGCAGCATATTCGGATTGAAATGAGCAGTTTGAATCATCTGTTTACATCCTCATTTACTAACAGTATTGAGAAGTGTCATATCGGATGCGAGTTGCTTAATTATGAATATAAAATTAGTAGATTCCCCTTCAAAGACCTAAGGAGCAATGCGCAGTTTAACTATCTTAACATCGGCGCCATTCTATGACGCTTCCGCCTGTACTGCGATTGCAAATGGTACATTGGTTACAGGTAGATAGCAGTTTATCCGGGAGTTTGTCCATCGCTGGGGAAAGGCATGCAAAATGAAACGCTTTGTGAATTACAAACGTATCGACTAACTTCTTATGTCAAACGATTTGTCGCGCAAAATCATATGGGGGAGAGAAACAAAACATTATACACTCTTGGTAACCTAATCTTAGATATGCTAACAAAAAAGATTATAATGCAAGACCGTGGGATATAAACTTTTGAGTTAACTGTACCAAATGAACAAATGTGTGCATACGGTAGACAGAACTGCATGAGAACATTCACTGACCATAGTTTTCTCCTGAACATTTTGAGCACAGCATTCAGTGATTGCAATGAATTTTCGGAATAATCAAACTGCACTTGCATTGGGACTGAAATATGTACTGCAAGCAATACTCCATGTTTTCGACAGTACGAATAAAACCAAGCCAACGGATGAAGGTGTTAGTCGACAACCTTGGATTCGAGTTCTCATGTAACAGCTTCATACTTCGTATGAGTAATTTCTCCAAAGCATACTGAGCATTGAAAAAAACTAAATCGCCAGACACACAGAAACGATCTAAAGCGAAATATTGTCCAAATATTTTAATATAGTATTTTTGAATGGTGTGGGTCAAGATAAAGGTGTATCATTTTTCAGAGACTTTGCTTCGCTGCTGTCAATATTTGGTGTCAAGAAACCTGCCGCAATAGGAAAGAAACATAAGTAGGCATCTTGTGATTATTCCTTTTTCCCAATGACATAGAACAATGAATTTTGTTTATTCCTATAATTAACAATAAATCCTTATTGTTTTATACGACCAAAACCTGAAAAATAAAATGTGGTCATCAGATGAATCACTAACTTTGACTAAAGTGTGCTCTAGCTCACTAAAGATGCGACTGTGAATAATGGAAACATCTCAAGGTGATGAGTAAAGTAATCGCATAGTAAACGTGACTGTGACGTGATTAATGCGTCTACCATGCCTATCGTCACATGACATTGTCTGGACCCATGTATTCATCCAGGCATTTTGGAGAAATTGACTAAAACAAACGAATAGTATGGAACATGCACGCTTCCTTGCAGGTTGGGCTCTGATAAGTGAGAGCTATACACGTACCACTATTTACCGGGTTTAATTTAAAAAAAAAACCCTTAGGTATCCAATAGATATGCGACTGATGATTAAATCGTCGTGCTATCCGCTGTCACATAGTTACAGAAACACAGCGCACCTGGTATCCGTGAACCACACGTAATCTTTCTCGCCATTTGAGAATAACCGATTTCGGTAGGCCACCGATGTAAAGTTGATCGGCCAAATTGAAGTTCTTTGACCTCTCTCCATGCAGTACTTTGATATCTGAACGAGACTCCATCCTTGTTCCTTGATCGATGACCAAAGTTAGTATATTTCGTTCCGTGTCTTCACTGTCAGTGGGGAACATGAAAATAAAAGAACAAAAAGAATGACTTGGACCGAACTGGGTTGTTGATTGTGATCAGTCACGCAATGCGAGAAGACAAAATTAGTGAGTTTGGTCAACAGAACAATTCTTTCTCCGTCCTTGATGAACCGCCCCAATTCAGTCCGCCTTGTCAACATTTTACTGTGTTCTTCTTTTTTTGGTAAAACCGCTCCATGTGTATGCTCGCCGGACGCAAATCAACAGAATAATTCAGTTTGCGATCCGAAAGTTAGCGAACAAAAGGTCTGTTCGATGAAATCATTTTCAGAAATGTCCTTAGAATAATGTCAAATCGACTAGGTTTTTAAATAAAAAGAGTAACCGGAGTTTGATCGCCTACACCTTCGTCGGTCACATTCCGAATGAACAGTGCAGCGTGATTTCCTGAAGCCATCACTTGCCACAGAGTTTGNGTTCACATAGAATTCGACCAGAATATGTTCGTGGACAGTTATTGGACTGCCGTCTCCGGTAACTGTGAGATCTTTTAAGCAGTGCTTAGAAAACCTACCGCGGGGGGAAGAAGAGAGGATTCGCACGATGCATGTTTAGCAATCGTAGCGTTATGGGGATGTATGCTGCCAGTCAATATATTGCCTAATAAGTTTCATTACTGAAAATGTCTGCGGAGATCGTTGGTGGTTTTTCAATGGTTTTGGTAATTCAGTGTGTGGGTTACAATCAAAATTTATGAAATAAGACACAGATTAGCTAATAGAGCTCTGAAGTTTATTTATTATACTCTTTCGAAATTTGTGCTTCGTTCATTAGATTGTTTTCCGATATGAAATATTTTTGAACGTTCGATGATCAAAGTTTAGTGTTAGAATATTGGTTGTAGGCTCTAATGCGATCGAATCGTTACAGTATCCATGGGATTTTAAATGTGCAAATTGAAGAAAAATTTGATGGTGGTCACCCTCAAACGTTCTAAGACCATTTTTAAATTGCTATGTTCGAAATGCAACAAACACTAATGGTAGATGATCGTGCCGTTTGTTTCACACAAACATTCAACAAATCCATGAGATTTATGCCGTGTTTTCGAGAATATTTGGATTAAAATACCTCCGTAGCATGGTTTCCGGTGAAATTAACAAATTCAGTGATAAAAAGTGTACATATTTTGAAGTTTTATTGCAACACACAGGAACCTGATTCGGAATGAGCCTCATCGGTGAATGCAATGCATAGTGACGTACATTCTTGATCAGCAGTGATCACGAGCACACCAGTGTGAAGATCATTCACTCAAGCCCTGAATTGTTTAGTCATGTCTACTTCACTTTCTGAAATGTACGGTTGATTCGGATCATAGATATTTACCATAATTAATTTGCCTTACTTATTCCAACAAATGATGATATTTTTACATCAGTAACAAGTGACACTTCACCATGTCCCTAATGTTTTATTCCATTCAGCTCCAGGACAAACTGATGCCCCCTAATTGAGACCAATTCTTAAGGTATTTTAGCATAAAGATGATGAAAAATGTGAGTTTTTTCATGTCGCAAATAACTTGATCCGACAAATCAAAGGCGTGATAAAACGGCATTACTCCTAGATTATACAAAGTGAATTTTGATAGACAAAAGTGCTGCTTTGTTTTTCATGATAGTTTATCGAAGAGGCAATGCATACACCCGTAGATAAAGTGAAATCACCTTTTATTTGCAGCGTTGTTAAAGTAAATATATCTCTGAAATGCAACGTTGTCGTGTGATCGTGTGTTGACAGACTATGATGAAAAAGATAAATCCAAACGTTTGAAGAAACCGCAAACCATAGACAACGTGATGAAATGTAAAAACTACGTAGGGCTTACCGTGTCAGCTCTATCCCATGCCATTGGTTATCGTCCACACGCGTACCCAATAAACCGTGTCGCTGCGCCCCACTTCCCATATCAAAGTTCACAAACAAATGACCCTGACTCAGTTCGAATGCAAGAAAATCCACCGTGAATGGTCCGGGGTTGAAAAGAATCAAACCGTCTGTTTGGGTGGTTCTTAGGGCAAATCGCAGTTTGAATCGATCATACAACCGAAGTGCCGGAACAACCAGATAGGCCTCTGCGTTTCGGAGGGTGAGCGGATAGGCAACCGTTGGGACGAATGGGATATGCGCAAATATTGATCGGGAGGCACGGAATGATCCAGATCGAGTTTTAGATGTGACCGGTTTTGTATTGAGATTATGCTGTTCTGGTGTTCGTGAAATGAGAATAAACGGCATGTTGGATCATGTAAACGAAACGAAAAAAATTGTCGTATACGTGGAGAAAATTTTAGGGAGAAATAATAGCATCCCTAAGTTTTTCAATATTTTATCATAACCCCATCGTTTCAGCAATCAGGTTGAGATTTTAGGGGACAAAATGTTTTCTAGATATCAGTTAATTATTAGACAAAACGTTTCATCGTACCCAGACGGTTTGTGTACCCCCTTAATTAGCAACTGCTTACTGAGCATTATCTTTCAAAGCTGATAGTGAAACAGTAAACTAATCATATGCGAATTTCTACTCTTTATTTACCATTACATTTAAAAAAGCTTGAAAACAAAGTAACACACTTCGAGTTGTGCTGCAATCATAGTTTGCAGACGATTTCATAAAACGACAGGTTTCAGTTATATGGTTATCTTGCAACCATGATATCAATAACGTTGACCACTGCACTGTCGCAGAATATTAGTCAAACAACCAAAAGCTTTACTTGGAGAAATTTTACAAAGCAATCATATAAGTGTGTCAGAAAATCGGTAAAAAACTAAGAAATCTGTCACCATATGAAGAATGACACGCCAAATGTTGACTTTGTATCTAAGCGCTTAACCATTGAATTGGCCCAATTATCAGTACGTAATGTATTTAAAAGTAAATGAAATAGGTGTAGCACATCGTTCTCAGCAGTTCACTCCATGCCAGAAAAATTCATAAATATGGAATGTACTGGATTGAAAAGAACCATTTTGCGTCAAATGTTATTTTGCGATAAATGAATTATGCGTGCTTTATTGGTGACTTTAACATGTGATACGTGATTCAAAATGTGAATATTTGTCCACGGTTATTTCTATTTCTTAAATTCTTTCCCCATCGTACCAGATCACTATGTCTCTTTTCCGAATGATTTTAAACTTCTTTCATCGTTGCCCTTCTATAGGTCACCTCTCCATTGGTAGAGTTAATGAGAACAGAACCCGGTATTATTAGTACGTCACGCATCATGGAAGAAACAGAAGGTATAGTTTTTACCACTAGCGTAACAGCTATTAGAAGAAGTGTCACACCTGTGAATCAACCTAAATTGTACATAACTTTGGGTGAGTAAATGCCAGAAGCCCACAGTAAAGTCGGCCAATAGTCCAAACTCCAATAAGATTCCTACCACATTTTTAACTCTGCAATAACGTTTTTGGAGGAAAAAGTATTACGACAGGGGAGTTGACGTCAGTTTGCACAAACACAAACTAACATGGAGTACGCGGTATTGGTGTGCAGCCTAATACAAAAGGAACGTAAAGATCAATTATTTTCCAAAAAGTACATCACTGTGCGTGGGAATAACCCAGTAGATCTGGTATATTCATCCCAATGATCATGATCTGACTTTTTAAAAGAATATCAAAAATCCGAGCATGTATATTAGTGGTTTGGTGCGCATTTGTCTTAATATCTCGTTTGTTTATGAAAAGTACTTCATGAAGTCTGATATTACTTTTTACAGGTTTTGCATCATTTTTTGAGGGTTATTATTATTATTAAAACCGACGACTTAAATTGGGTTTTAGTCAGGTGCACCAAAATGTGCCAAATTCTATCATCTAATTGAGGATGATTCGATACTGTTTACTTACTTGGATTTCAGACAACCCCATGGGAATAAGAACAGTATATCAGAATGAACATAGGTCAATTTGACGGTCGCTTTATTCATCCGTCTCGTTCTGTTAAATCGATCTTCTTCGCTAAGGTATTTCTACATTTTATTCGTTGACGTAATAGGGCGCGTTTCTAGCGATTTTCCGAGCATTTGTTCCTGGTTAATACAGATTTGTTGTTCATATTATATAAACAGTCTTCAAGCAAACGCACGAGACATTTCTGTGAAAAAAACAGTTCATCAAATTTTCCTTCTCGTTGACTTAGTAATGTAAACTTAATTGACAGCTTTCGGCGAGTTATCACTTAATGTAAGCAAGTGCTTAGAAATCAGTTCCCTATTTTTAAAACACTTTCCGCGTAGTACGGCGCTGACAAACATTTATCAATCGCTGACGCACCCATTTTTTAAACAAAATGAATTCCAAGTTTCTGACACCAAACAAATTTTGCATCAGAGCTCCTTTGAATATTTGATGCTAGCTCCAACCAACTGACTCATGTTTTCCGCATCAGTGAAGGCAGCAAACAACTAATCGTAAACTCAATTCGTCAGTTCATCTTTGTGTCACTAGCTGAAAAGGAGCAAAGTTTTGGAATAATTTGATCCTGTGTCGTGCAAAAAACCACTTTGATCTTTCCTGATGATTTACCTTCGTCGCTTTATAGATGAATGTCTTGGTCTATATATACTTTTTGGCTGACTTGAAGCCAAATTGCTTTATATTGTTTTTTGATTGATCAAGGAATACAACGTGTGGTGCCTACCCAAGCGTCATTGAGCAATCCTTCAGAGAGAAGTTTATGTAATCCCACCACTCGGTCTCGGAATTTAATATTATAAAACAAGAGATCACTCGTTTGATGAGTATATCATGAAGTCTCGCGAGATTGTCGTTAATTATACTAGGAAATGTACCTACTCATGGTAGAGCTTTTGTAAATTGAAAACGATTGCATGTATTTTAAGCGGGGAAGATAAAGAAACAATACGTTTTTTGAGCTGATGGTAACCTTTCATGGAGCACTGGTGTTCCGCCGTCATGATTTATTCAGGGAAATAAGTTGCCCTTTTGTCAGTTCTCCAACTACTGTGTATGAATAGTTGGTCTAAATTTGGGGATTATTCCTCAAAACAAATGAATGTATTGATTGCTGTTCTTCATTCAATGCACAATGAATTATTTATTTGTCGCTGCATTGAAATCCTCCTTGATTTAACTAGGGAGAATTGAGACCATATGTATCGATCGATGACTTGATAAAGATCTGATTGCCCTTGATGTAACATGATAGTCATGAGCTTCTTATGTTCAGCTCAAAATGTATCAAATGAATTTCAGTTTTGTTCAAGAGTTGTTGGTTAACCTGTTGACTGCTGGTTACAATTGAAAGTATCAATTGGGCCAGATATATTTTATCAGCTCAGGAATATTTCCTGCGATCCAACTAACGTAGATGTGTTCGTTTCTGAGTTTGGAGTAAAAAACCTAACTGTTCAGCGCTTTTCTTTTTGTATTTCCTCATTCATTCATTCATTCATATCACTTTAACTGGTTATTGAATATGGACATGGACATGTACAGGATTTAAGTTTGATTTTCCTGTTTTTCCTATGAAACCTGAGAAAGTCACCGTTTCACTGATCATTCTTTGTGGTATTTCTTCTTTGTCTCCGATTTTCATGTTCATTCGTCAAACCCACTGCATTTTTGCTCTTTTCCCTCCAGGCAATCTCGCTTAGGACACATGCACATGTTTTACTGGTCTGAATCTTATGGACCTCATTATACGCGAATGTTGTTTATGCAAAACTACAATTATCCTCGAGCTATGTTATGTGAATGACACTTGGGTGAACCAATACATATATTCGTAACGGTTGTTCTTCCTATGAAGAATGATTCAGGGGCACATGCAAGAGGCTTCAGTTTACGTGAAATATTATTCTAGTTGGTACCGAACAAGTATCAATAATTGGCAAAATGGCCGACCGATAATTAACGGTCAAGAACCAAGGTGAACATTTGAGGCCTAAGAAGCTTGCAAGTTCGACCAGTTCAACAAGAAAACGAAAGTTGGTTCGAACACCTACATTCTGCGTCCACTTAGCGTGACTCGCAGATACTTACTGAATGGTGCATTTTCCAGATGAAGTCACGGTATTGAATCAAAGTACACAGTTTGATGTTTGTAATACCCACCAGATAGATGATCGACGTGTGTTTCTCTAAACCAGTTCAAGCAAATTTTAAAATTTGGTGGTCCTATTCGCTTTGCAATCATCCAAACTAAGCTCTTTTGCATTTTAGAATGTTCCACAACGATGCAATATGCAATGATTTTGGTAAGTGCATCTGATTTCGTATGCACAAACATTTTGCATGCCCTTGGGGACCCTGAACTCACCAATAAATTGTAAAACTGCATAAATATATTTATGTTATGAGGACTTATTCACAGCACAATGCTCATTCATCAGGCAGTAGAGAGACAGAAAGATGGGCAGAGTTGTTTAATGTTTTGACATGTTATCGTGTATACCAATAATAATTCACAATCAACTCTTCCAAAACCGTCATGAGTGAACGTGATTGCAAAATTTATAAACGTCTCGCGTTACGGAAATGCTGTTCCGTCGACGTGGTTAAAACCAGCAAGAGATAATCTGTCATGTTAGACGAAATCGTCAGTTCCTGGTACGAGTTAAACCTGTGAATGGGGTGTTGTCTTACAATTTTGTTTTTTAACATGGTACCTTTCAGAAGCATCTGTGTATGCTATGCATAGTTTTCAGGCATTTAAATCGTACTTTTGGCATGAAGGAGGAAGTAAAGTTGACTGATTTTACTCACACTACAGAAATTGAAATGTTGAAATTTTATATCAAGAATGTTATTTATTACGAGTGTCTAAACTGATGGCTAACCAGATTTAGTAAATTAATGTCTGTGTTCGCATACTGTCGGTTGGATTTTCATTCCGTCTTATCTCACCGCTGACCGGAAGTAATGGCTCTATTTTCTACTAGTTTGCTAACCTTTAAAATCACTCTTACTCATGCTTGATCGATCACATTCAACGAGGTTTTGAGTGAATGCTTTGTCATTGTTCTTCGTAACTGAAATGGTTTTATTCAAAACAAATCCTGAAAGAGTTCGAGTTTCGTACCTTCAAATGTTTCAACGCAGTGAATGTAATATTGAAGATGTGCACACTATGTTATTAGGAAGTGATCTGAAGCGATTCTGTGATTTGCCTCCAAATGATCTTTAGATTGCACCAAAGGTGTCCAAGTTACCGGATGTAATATATATTACCCGACTGGAATTCTGAATGGTCATTCATC